CTCTGAAAAGCATCATACGATACCTACCAAAGTTTTTCTTGACCCTATTCCATTTGCCAGTGTCTCAATAGAAGAAACCCGGCAGCAGGCCCTATATCACCTACGCCGAAGAATACGGCTTGCTTCTGAAAGCTGCCCGATGAACGTACCGATTTCAATTCATACTAGAGCATTAGTTTGGAGCTGGTGGAGAACCTTCTCGCAAGCATTTAAACAATTGACGCCACTTAAAAAGCTCTACAAGCTTCTTGGCAAAGGTCAGGCAACCCTTCATATAGGCCATGAGGACCTCCGTCATCTATACGAGCAAAGTGGCCTCACGGAACTTTTACAAACCTGGCCGCAGCAGCATCACAAATCTCTCGTACCAGCTACGCTTATCGCGTCTGCACTGCAAGCTGCTGAAATTGCTACTGCCACTCTGCCCAACATCCCCTTTGGTCAAGAAAGTACTGACCCTGCCAGACGTGCCAGGCGACAACGTCTCTTCTGGGATCGCCTTAAAACAGTCTGTCCAAGAGGTACTTTTTATCACGGTCCACTCCTGCGAAGCAATGGGACAGAATGTAAAACAGCACAAGAATATGACGATGCTATGCTTGCAACCCGATCGTTTTGGTTTCGACCGCCCGTGCGGTACGATCCATCATGGTCGCGAACACTCGATATTTACAGGCAGCAAGCGCAACCATGGCCTCTTGTGCCTGAGCCATCGGCTGATGACTACGTTGAACACCTTCTTCTCACTAAAGATTCTGCTCCTGGTCCTGATGGACTCCCTCACGCGCTATGGCGCATGTTACCGTATCATACTGCGGTTATCTTGCAAGATGATTTTGATCGCATAATGTCCTGCACCATGCCTGCCCCGACTCAAATAGGGGTGTGGATCCCGAAAGCTAAACAAGGGCCTACCGCGGACTTCTTCCGCCCACTGGGCATGCCAGACACACTAGATCGACTGCAGGATGGTACAGCTGCTGCTATTCTCTTTCGAGCTACTCGGCACTCTTTCCACCCTGCACAAACTATGTTAAACGCCTTCCGAGAACCTCAAAAGGCTGTGCTTGAAGTCCAACAAATGATGGAGGGAGCGATTCCTGCATCGGCGCTCTTTGCAGATCTGTCCAAAGCGTTTGAGCGTGTGAATGCCTACTGGATACTTCACATCCTTCACATAAGGCAGTGTGCCCCATGGGTGCTTCAACTCGCTAAATATCTGCTCTTTGGAAGGCGCATCAAACATAAGGTCCAAGGAAGGCTACTCCCATCGCGTGCAGTTCACTCAGGAGTAGATATGGGCCGATCTACTTCGGTCTATTTCTTTTGCCTGGCAATGGATCCCATCTTTGTTGCGTTGCATCAAATACCACGAGTACTGCTTGTTGCTGGCTATGTTGACGACGCCACCATTGTTGGGCAGCATTGTGACCCACAATGGATCAAAGAAGTTTTCGCCTACATCGATTCTTGGTCGACAGCAGGTGTCGTCATGGATGCGCATGCGTGTTGGTATGTTGGACTCTCCACCGTGCCCCTTCCTGAACAGGAATTATTGCCGTTCCAAGATATTGCAACTGCTTTCCTTCCCTGGCATGGGCAAGCTGAACCTACGGTCTCTTGCGCCGTCCGTCACATCCCCTCATATGCGCACTATTTTGTCCTTCGTCATGGAGATCACTGTGCCCTTTTTCGCACCAGCCAAATCCATGAGTGGGCGCAACACGGACACTCCCTTTTGCTGCGTCTGGCGGCCAGTCCATGCTCATGCCGTTCCAAGACCCAGCTCCTCACTAGTGATGCTTATACCCTAACCCAGTTATATCAGGTTGACCAGGCAGGGCTCGGTAATCAGTGTATTGCTTCGACAACAGTTAACTTGGGTCTAACAATTCACACAGGATGGACCTGTAATCTTCACGCAGATCAAATGGAATATTGTCCACTTGTTCGTACGATGCCTTCTCTCCTCTCCAAGCAACTTCTAAAGTTCAGAGCGAGAATTGCTGCGGGTAACAAAGGAACTTGAGTATCCATGCGAAGATAATATATTTCAATGCTTTCTCACTCAGCTTATTTTATTATGTGCAGACGCATCGATATTTCCCCAAGCACATGCTAGCGCCACTATACCGGGCATTGGCTGATTTTCTTCTTAAGAGACATTGGTTTCCACAGCTTAAACTGGTTGGCATCTGCCGATGGCTAAGGCTGGGGCCACTCCTTGACCCTTGTATCATGCATGCGTTTGCACTCTTTGGCTGTTATCTTCGGCAAGGGCATCGTATCCTCCCCACCTTTGTCAGAGACACTGACGAGTCCTATCGACGTCATGTATATACTTGTTGGAAATTTTGGCAACGTTTGCTCTCTCCTGACGAAGTGCGACAATTATTGGCTCTTCTTGATCAGTCTCATAATACCCCGCATCGGATACGGCGCTTCTTGGATAGATTTAAGCAATATGCAATAGCACATCACATTGATGACTCCGTTGCCCACCTGTCTGCAAGAATATCTCGAAATGGGTGGACATATGGGCCATCTCTAAACTTTTTGGCATGGTTGGCGCAAACACCAGTGGCGCATGTTGGGGCTGTCCCCCGCTTTGCAGTTATGCGATGGGCGTTAGGAGAGGATGCTGACCTTTGGCTTCCCCTCAGAGGGCGGGCTAGCCGAACCTCCCCCTGTGCATGGTGTGGCCGTAATGCTAGGAATTATCCTGCAGGGCCTGCCCGTGGAGCTCTGTGCTACACCTGCACTGGACCGCAGCCAGGCCTCCCAGAGCCTATGTCTGAAGAGTTGCTAAAATCTCTGCCCCGGCATGGTCGCACTGAAGGTACTGGACTTGCCAGTCCTAACATAATCTCTCCCCCATTTGCTGCCAAGCTACTCTCCTCAACAGGCCCGGCAGCGCAGTTTGCCCCCATTCCCTGTGTCCTCTGTCAAGGGAGAGCTAATGCCATTGACCACTGGCTTTCTTATTGTCCTGTCATCCACGGAGCCTGGCTCCTCCTCTGGAAAGGGAATGCTCCACCCCTTGATTGGCAACGTCCTCCTAATCGACAGACAGGTGTTGCACTTTGCTATTTGTTATTCCATTCTCGACGACTTGTCACAGAATATGGGGGGCTACGACCCTCCATTGAATGTCTCAAGGTTCGACCACCCCAACGCCATATCTTGGATTTGTGGCAACGTATTTATCAATCCTTGCCCGCTACCCTGCTCCAATGGTTTCAAGCTCCACTGCTTCACCATGACCTGCCATGCACCAACACCGAACACATTAGAGTAGAAAGATTCCCGCAGACGCAGATTGACTCAGCTCTTCTCCCGGATAAAGGTCTGTGCACTAATCGAGCCTTCCGCAAGGATGAGGCAATTGCCATTTTTGGACCCTCAGACATACGTTTGCGTCTCTTGTTGACGCAATATCGCCGCCTGCCCTTCCCAGCTGCGACTGCAACACTCCTCCCATACACCTGCTCGTGTGGAAGTGTACACTACAAGTTACAAGCTACTGACGATGTGCCAGAAAATGCTATTCTCCTAATAGGAGAAGCACCCAACTGGCAAGGATGCCTAGTGCAGTTCGATGGCTCAGCTCACAAGCTTTCTCAGACAGGAGGCGCAGGAGATAGTCTTCTGCAAGTGACCCAAGAAAATACTACTCTAGTACGATGGAAGTCCATTCCACTTATCCCATGTGCAGATAATGTGGTAGCTGAAGCCAAGGCTTGTTTAGCTGCTGTTCAACTTGCCCTCGAATATCACAGCCAGTGCTTAGCTTGTGGCATACCTCATAAAGGCACAGTCATCCAAGGGGATATACTCCCGCTCCTCAATTATCTTCAAGGAAAAGGGCGAGTAAAAAGACCGGAAATTGTTCGTCTGCTTGAAGATTGCCAGAGTCTCCTTGCTAGTGCCCCCTTTATCTTGCGACTGGTGTACCTACCGCGAGAATGCAACAAATTAGCTGATTATTTAGCAGGGCAGGCTAGTGCGGTAGCCAGAGTGCATTTTGACCAACCTCTTGCTGTCGCTGCTCACCGTGCGGTGCCCCCGTATCATTTAGCACAGAAGCTTGGCTTTGTTATTGCAAGCGGGCCCCTGCAGCCAACTCCTGCATTTGTCCTCACTGAATGCCCCGAAACGTCCAATGAGGGACTTGCAAACCTTCTCGCACAGCTGAAATCCCATGTAAGTGCTGTTGACGACTATCTTGCGGTAGCAAGAAGTCATCAAGGCAAGCTCACTGTAGGCTATAAACCATCCTCCGGTGATGGGCATGGCCGATTTTATACTGTTGGAACAGCGGCTCAGCAGCTCCCACGTAAAGTTCGTCTTCTTCTATTTGGTCGCAGCCACTGTGAAATTGACATAAGTGGGGCGCACTATGAGCTCACAAGACGATGCTGCGCCCAGGCTGGCGTTCATTGCTCGCTACTCCCGATCAGGAAGGTTCGAGAGTGGCTCAGAGCGGTCTTAGCACCGCCAGGCCAGCAGGCTTGCTCTCAAGACCTAGACGGACTGATCAAGAAGTGGCCACTTGTAGTAATCAACAGAATCAACAGTGACTCTCCAGGGGAGGCGCTCGCTTTTCTCTCCCGTCAGCTCCCTTCCCTTGCCCATCCTCCTCTACCCGAGCTCACAAGGTTTGGCTTTGAATTGCATGCAGCCAGTCGATTTGTCATGAACAATCCGCCAGAATGGTGCTATGCCCGGGAGCGCGATCGGTGCAGTTGCATGTTTGGTTGTGCAAAAGGGTGGTGCAATATGTGACTGGTTTTGTGGAGCCTTCCAAATAACAACCTGAACAATGGTGGAACATATTGAACAAAAACACTTTGGTTCGTTGATCTCCGCATGACTCAAGCATTCGCAGAGAAGGGGTCTGCATGTCCTCTTTGAGTAAAGTGCGAGTTCGGTGGACGACTTTGCAAAATTATTTTGCTCAAACACACAAGTAAGGCAGCGCAGCATGACCAGCCACCAAAGCCGGTTTTTGATTTTGCGGGGTTTCCAAACTTCACCCGTGACATGCGCCGGGCCACACGTTCCAACACGCTTTGGTTAAGCTGAGAACCTTGCCACCACCCCAACCAGAGACAAGTGGAGGAAACAGTGTAGAAATGGCTGCGGAGATCTTGTCACGGCAAATCTCTCCTGTGGAAAGTTTCATTTCATCTTTGAGAAGCCGGTGGCCCAGTCATTTCCATGAGATGCATAGTAGCTTCTTGGTTACCAGTAGCAAGGACGCTACTAGGTGGAGGCTATCGCTACTACGTAGGGTGGAGGCCATTACTACTAGCAACAAGAAGCTACTAGTAGCTTTTTGTAGAATGGGTGTAGGATTGTTGTAGACTGCGTTCGGGTAGGGCGCACAAGGTCCCCGACCGACAGTGCGAATCTGGGCTTTGACACAAATTGTGCACCTGGCTGTTTTACTGAAACGTTTCATAGAACGGGACGAAGACCTAAATTCTTGAAGTGCATGCCAGGGAAAACTCTCGCCGTCAAGAGCTGCTGAGTTCCAGCTAGATGTGCAGGCTTGGGTGCGCTTCAGAAGCATGACATATTGGAAGAGCCCTCTCATTTGTGTCAGGTTGCCTTCAAGGCTTTGTCCCAGAATGCTAAGTGTAGTGTTTCATATTTGATTCTGTCTTCGGGCATACAGATCCAAAACTCAATTTGAGTTTCGATGAACGTGGCTGCAAGACCAATAAACATTCGATCATGTTCGTTTGCTGAGTCCCTGAAATAGTTTCACCATGTTTCATCGTTTCACCATGATGATTTGCATCAGGTTGCTGATATGCTTCGAGATCCAGATTCCAGTGTGCAAGCACAAGCTTTGTTGACTCTCTCCAAACAAGGCAAGGGATCAAGACATTCGTGACGGGAAAGGAGCCCCTAGTAGCGTCCTTGCTCCAAGTAGTAAGGCCAGGAGCCGCTAGTAGCTTCTTGTTACTAGTATTAGTAGCGATGCCAGGAGCCCCTAGTAGCGTTCTTGCTCCTAGTAGCGATGCCAACATGCAGGTGATCGAGGTGCAAGACATTCGAATGAGATTGCACGCAAACTCTCCCATCCCGCAAGGGCCGTCGTTCTCTGAGCACATTGCGCCACAGAAATAGCGACCTTTTTCCAGTCATGATCACTTTGAATCTGGCGTTCATTTTATCCGTTGCTGTTCCACTTTTTGCACCAAGGTCAAACTAGCTGCGTTGCAAGCATTGGGAGATCTTGGGCCAAGCGTGGCTTCAAATGCATTAGATGTGGTGGCGGTGATGAACCATGAGGACAGAACCTAGATTCAGAGGCATTGTTTGATTCATTGATATCGACCCTTCCTTATTTACCTACCAAACTTGGAAACTGACACCTAAGGACCTAAGGAACGTGATTATGCTGATAATGCATTATTATACTTACTTACACTTTATACATCGCGACCGTATTAATTTGGAACCATTCTATCTATATACAGTATGTGTTCCTTTTTTAGTTGGTTCCTGTTGAACCACATTTGTCATCAAGTTGCGGACACCACGTCTTACATCTAGTTCCCAGTCATAAGTTTTTTAGAACTTTTAGTGCATAGAAGCTGAAACGACCCTCAAGCACATCTATTCATGCGGGGATTTTCCAGATGCCATGACCAACATGTTGTGAAGGATCCTGCAGTGGCTGGTGGCGCTTGCTCTGCCTTGGGCAAGATGAAGGCAAAAGGACCCAGGAAACTTGTGAAACCGATCGATATCCACCAAAATCACTTTGACTGGCACAAGTTAGTTATTCATTGGAATTCATGAGTGGAGTTCTTCTTGTCTCGTAACTTTCCAGAGAGTTTCTCTCTTGTGCAGGTGACCTCTCTTGCAGACAAGCTCACTTCCAAGCTCGAAAGTAGCACCTTTGTCCCGAGTTGTCTCAAGAACCTCAGATCATTTCAATCATCTATCTTTGAAGTCAGGTGGGTGTGGCTTGAAACTCTGTTTAAACCACAGTGACCCTTGGTTCTTCATCAGATGAAGAAAAGGAACAGAATTGACGTAGTTTGGGGGGGTGAACCGAAATTTACCTTTGTGGGGCATCCCATTTTGATCCACACCCAGTGGTGGAAGTCAGTTGTGTGAGGTCGAGAGGTGGAAGTGATCATAGCTGTTTGCAATGGCCTGTCGCATATGGACCGCAGAGTGGATGTCGTGGGAAGGCTGCTGTCACACGAGCAGTCTTCTGTGAAGGCGGCAGCATAAAGCCTGACAGTTTGTTAGCCACAGTTTCATTTTCAATGGCGGTCATTTTTGGCCATGCAAAAGATGCATGTAGAATCACGGAGGGACAGTTGACACTTTCACACGTTTTTCAGGCAGCTGCTGCGATGGCACTGCTGGGAATGACCAAGGCTGAGGAATTTCTTCCTGATTTGACACAGCTCCTTGGCCCAGCGACAAAAGGAACTTGCTGACCTCTGAAGAACCTCACCCACTGTAGGATGCAGGGTTTTGCAAAGCGACTTGAAGTAATGTTGGAGATGAAGTGTTGTCAGGCTCTTGAGTGAAGCGGATCCTTGCTTGCGGCACAATGCTGCTTCCACCATGCGGAGCCTTGGCTCATTCTTGCCACCGCAGAAAGCAGCTTTGGGAGCTCTCCTCAAAGGCCTGTGGTCAAAGGTTGTCCCGAAAGTCCATATCCCGAAAGTCAGATGACATGTTGTTTTGATTCTTGGTGTTGCACAATTTTCAAGTTGTTTGATTCACTTAAATGCACTTAAATGCTCTCACTTGGTGCTTGGCGGGAGGTGCTCCTGGAGTCGCAGCAGCAGCTGCCTATGTTCTTGCAAGTCTCGGTCCTGCAGCAGCAGCCACTCGGCTCGCCGGAGTAAAGCTAAAGTGGGGATGATGTTCAATCCAAGGACCAAGCACCGGCCCTCGAAGCCCTCCTGAACACCACGGCTGAGGACCGGCCGACGGAACCAAACAAATGCCTCTCACACTGGCACTTTTCAAGAAGATTGGAAGGTCTCTTGCAGCTTTGTGGTGAAGTTGAGTTTGAACAGATCGTGTTAAAGGGTTGAAAGGGGACTCGGCACTTGTGGGTCCAGTGACTCACAACGAGGACAGCTCAGCGTCGCTGACTGCCACCGGCGCTGCCCGTTCTCTTCCGGCGGGTCTGAGGAAGCCCGCTGTGGCCGCCATTGAGGCACTTGGCCTGTCGGGTGCTGCCGACAGAGCGCCAAGGCTTCTTGAGCTGCTGAAGAGCCCTGATGCGGAGGCGAGAAAGGTGGAAGGACCGATGGAAGGACCGGTGGAAAAGTTATGACAAGTCAAAAGGAATAAAAGAAACCGAAGAGCCAAGCGCGATTTCCTCACACCTTCATAGCCAGTTATTCTCTTCCAGGTTCGGTTGGCCGCTGCGGAGGCGCTCGGTCGACTTCGTGCTCAAAGCGCCGTACCTGCGCTATTGCTTGGCCTCAAGGTCAGCTTTTGGTGTCCAGTCAAACTCCCATCCACGATGGTTTCTCATCCAAGATTGTTTTCCACAGCTCATAAGCTAAAGTACACAGCAAGGAGTGAGAAGCAACAGAAGCGGAGTATGTTGCACTTTTTGGATTTGCATTTGCTTGGTTTCGCCAGGATCCGTCGCCTGCAGTAATTCGAGCATGCTGCAGTGCTTTGGGCCGAATGCCAAGTGCCGAGACAGCTGCTTCTGTTGCCGAACTCTTGAAGGACTCCACTCCGACTGGTCCCGTGTCAGTCTCACAGAACTGTATGGCGACCGCTTCTCCGCGATGTCACTTGTTAGGATCCACATCCTGCCGTGCGGGCGGGTGCAGCAGAGGCGCTGGCAGAGATGGGCGACACGCAGGCATTTGTAGCCAGCATCGCTAACTTGCTGGATGACAAGGCCCCACCTGTGCAGGCACAGCTGGCCTTTTTGATTGAATCTGTGTCATGTCAAGGCTTGATGTTTTCGCAGAGCATGTTGGCCGACGAAGGCACAAAGGAAGATGATGGGGAACCAATGAGTTTTGCCAAGTTGTTTGTGCAAACCATTCTGAACTTCAAGCTTGTCGGCTTTGAAGGTGTTGGAAGTTTTGATGAAAGTCAATCTTTGCGACTTGGGCTCCAGGTTGCAGCGCTACATGCGCTGGCAACGTGCGGAGAGCAAGGTCAGTTGCATGCAGCGGATGTTTGCCGCCTGGCAGCGCAGGGTGATGACAGGAGCCTCCACTCAGACACCCAACACAACATTGTTTTTCTCGACAGTACGGCTTCTTCAGCATGAGGCAGCTGCTTCAACAAGGAACATTGTTGGCTCCAGGTTTCAAACCACTTAACGAAGTAGCTGTGGAACGCAACAAAGTCAGAGGGGCTATAGCGCCGCTCGAGGATGCCTGGCGACACCACATTTTCGGACCGAACAACTCAAAACCGCAGCATTGATTGATGTAATTCATTTAATGTACATCTCAACCTGTACAGGATGCAGGTTGTTGAGGAAGGTTTAGTTGAGGGTCTTTAGGTCTTTTCTTTTGACATCAGATGATCCATGCCTTTTGGAGGACGCGCGTTGCAGCCTTGCAGACGCTCTCGCGGCTGGGCGAGCGTGGAGCGGCCTTCGCCCTTGAGCTGGAGCCGCTGCTGGACGACTCAGTGCCGGTGCCGTAGCGAAAAGTGGGTCTAATGTTTTGAGAAGGAACGCCAGGATATAGCCAGCATAGCTGCGTGTTTTGTACTTGTTTGATTTAGTTTGTGTTTTTGTGTTGAACAGCCCTTCTGTTCGGCATGTTTCAAGTAGAACGATTCATCAGTAGATAGGTTGATGAGCATTGTTGGAGAAACCTGAGGAGGTCTGCTCGGCTGCACGGAAAACCTTGGAGTACTTCAAGACCGGCAAAGATGCAGTGCCATCGCTTTTGAGTCTGCCTAAGGTAGGCTTTGGGTACAGAATGTAGCTGGTGAGTAGTTAAATAGCTCAACCACTCCTGATTAAACAAGTTGCCAGTGGACACGTTTGTATTCCTTCCGCTTCGGCGTAGTGCAGCCCGCATTGGCTTCTGTTTGGTATTGTTGTGTTCACGTACTGATTCCGCAGTTGTCAGCATTAAGTCCCACTCATTTGTATCTAGAGCTAGTGCAGAGAGTTCGCATCAACTTGCTGCAACGCTCCAATATGACTTGCATCATTTGCATTTCAAGACTTGAATCATCCTTTTAAACCTTTTTTTTGCATGTGACATGATGAAACTGCCTCATGCAGTTCTACCTTTTGCGAATTGGGTACCTGAAAACCTGCCCATCCCGAATCGCAGCATACTCACTGCCTTCACGGTCAGCAAACAAAGCTTCAGCGAACTTCAGCCATTTGTCAGTCTCTTTGGGTTCGGTCGACGCAGCGACGATCGCCGCCTGTACGAGACTTTTGTGGATTTGTGGAAGCTTGGCAGGTGGATGAACTGCCAGCGCTGGACGCCCCTGTCACAGGTCTTAATCGTTAGTAGTGCCGAAATGAAAAGCAACTACTGACAGCCAGCAGCTATTGAGTTTTGACTCCACACTACCTCAGAAACAAGTTGCTTTGGTAGCGTTCCTTTTTTTGCGAGATGTAGAACTGACTTGGTCTTGGTATGGAAGCGATGCAGATCATCGAGACTGGTTTGCACACAGAATTTGTGCCAGGTGTTGACCAAAGTGGGTGAAAGGAGCTGGCTGACTCATGATTCATACGTGAAAGGATGGGTGTGATTGGATCTTCCCTTGTACAAAGCGACAACCATGACTTCCACATAGGACAGGCCTTATGCCATGACTACTTCTCAGTGGAAAAAAGGTTTCACCGGACCTAACCGCGAGCAGTCGTTTTCCTCACTCCAATCGCACTCCTGTCCGACTGTTGCGATCCGATCCATTCCGCATTTACTTTGTGGCAAGACTGCAGCAAAGGCAGTCAGCTTAACCAGCTTGCAAGAGGTGCCAAGCAATTAAACCTTTTGTACCAACAACAGGCAAACTGGAAAGCATAAAATCAGATACAGCGGCACTTTCTCGAAGAAGCGATATGCGATGCATGATCTAAAGTCATGCAACCTCCAGCTCATGGCGAATCTTCCTTGCTAGCTGCAAAGCGTTTGCATCAAGAAGTCCCACCACACCGCTGGTGTGTGACCTTGCAGGATTTGGAGAGCGGGCGAGCACATTTTCCCAACTTCGCTCACATACAGATGTAGCTCGGTAATCCAGCAATCTCCATACCCACATAATCCGCCCAAGTCCCAAGTGTATGTTGCTGTTCTCTTGGCTGGTATGTGAACTCTCACAACTGGACAGACAAGTAGCTCGATTTAGTTGTGCGATCAAGCAGCCAAGCGCTTGATCAGATCACGTTCCTTTGAAGACTTTGTGAAGATGTTTCAGCTTGCAACTTCAATGCAACTGAGAAGTGCAGGTCAACACGTACTCAATACTAAAGAGGGTGTTTGGCATTTGACACATAAGCCAGATCAAGCCAAGCAACCGTTGCAATCTTGACTTGTCAGGAGTTCCAGCACTTTGTACGGGACGTGCGAGTTGCGTGGCGAGCAGGCCAGCAGAGGTTGAAAGAACTTTTCAAAGGTTGCTGATAGATGTTCATTTGCAGCTTCTGAAGGACTCTGGGGACAAGTTCCATCTCATTCTACGATCTCTTTTCAAGATGACAGCTCCGGGCCGAATGTCTACCAGGTGAACGTAGACTTTGTCAAGCCATGCACACTGCGAGCTGGAGGAGCCGCAGCCAAGCCATCAGAAACACATGGTTCAGAAAGTTCAGAAACACCAACTGGTGCTTTGTCAGATTATTTCTTTTAAAGAACCAGTTCGCAATCGTCTGGGCGATTTCTGGAAAGACCAGTTCTTTTTATCGTCAGAAGTGCACCGGAGCGCACCGGTCCACGGAGCTAGGTCCAGGGGTCGAGTTCGGCGGACTACCGCGCCGGTCGCGTGGACTGGTTCGTGCCAGGAATGAGCTACGCATTGATGCTGCATTCGGGTGGACTGGATTGTGAGGTCTTCGTCTCCCATGCGTGGGCGGAGGGTATTTTTGAGCTTTGCATCTGTGTGAAATATGGCTGGGTGGTTGGCAAGCAAAACCTCTACTGCTGTCCCTTGCTCAGGGGTCAGTGTGGTTTGACATATACTGAATGGTGAGACGGCTGAATTGAGCATCACCTGCGTCGCCTAGACAATTACACTCTCATTTGCATTGTGAAGGGACGTAAATGTAGCGTCAGAGCTTTTTCATGAAACTTGGCAGAGCTTCAAGATTTTCTTGCAGAGACCCCTGAAAGAGTTGTCTCTTCTGAGACAATTGGACATTTGTACTCCAATGCGATACCCCATGGCTGCTGCAAGCCTTCTTATCCTTTTTCCATGACATCTCTCATGAGAGGCACTGAAGACAGTGCATCATTCAGTCTCCAACTCTTGTTGCACGCTTTTCCCTGGAGTCGTTTGTTCATGCAAGCTTGCGCCTTTTCTCACAATTGCTTCTAGGGTTGCTGTGAGACAACATGGGAGATTTATGTACTTGCAGCGAGCTCTGACAACTCTGCTTTTTCTTTCGCACCTCTTTCGAAACATCCTGCACTGATTCTCTTGCTCGGCTTTCAGGTCTGTTGGCCAATCCACAAAACTTGGACATCGGCGAAGTCTTGGGCAACACTCCTTCAGCAAGCCCCTTTGCAGCCGCACTGAACAGTGCTTCGCACATCATTGTGGCACCAAACCGTGCAGTTTCGGTCTATTCTCGATTGTGGTGCGTCCACTGACAATGAAACTTCAACATGATTTGTTCGTTTCTTGTTTTTAATAGCGAAAAGACATGATGCCTCAGGTTCTGGTACAACCATCTGTTTTTCTTTGAGATAGTTTCTGCGTACGGACTGTACAATGCCCAGGTCTACGAAGCATATCTCGCGGCCAAACAAGAGAAGATTTTCGTGATGCCAGCGATCTCCAACACCTCTCAGTGCTTAAGCCTCCATTGCCAGTGGCTATTCCTTCCTGTACTTTGCGGCATTTTGTTGGGTGGGTTGCTTTCTTGGCTGGTCAGCAAATATGCAAGGCCAAAACAAGAGGTTGCTACAGGATTAGCAATATTGGTCTACTTAAACCTTGGCAATATGTTGGTGCACATCTTATGGCCGCGACACTGTCGCAAGCTGCGTGCTATGTGGTGGACGGATTCATTTTTGCTTCTCACTTCTTTCTTGATCGCTACCATGTACATTCTTCTGGTATACGTGGAGGAAGAAGCAGCGACAGGTGGAGCATGGGTTGAATTTGTCATCAGCTTTTTCAGGAAGTTCTTTTTCGTCGCCCTTGCCCTTCTTTGCACAAGCTCTGTTGGTCAAAACATTCACAGTGAAATCGAACAGGCTTCCTTGAAGAAGTTGGAACAATGGCTTGACTTCAAATCTGTGCGCTTTGCCACGTGCTCCAATCCATCTGACGCTGAACACATTTGGAATGAAATTTCGGATTCCGTTGCAGACGTTGACGCTGCCATCAGCATTTTGATCAAGGCTGGGGCGTACACCACAGGCTTGCGCCAACAATACGATGCAGGAGTGATGCATTGATGCAGCAAAAGCCCTAGATGTAGACTCCTTATTAATAGACCAACCCCCATTTGAATCCACGAACCCCCATTTGAATTGGACATCCTTTTCCGCCTCTCGCGCACACGAGGTCGTGTGACACAGCCTGCAGCTTTCTACTGCAGGGCGTCTAAATGAACACCCACCCCTCGGGTGTCAGCCGTGAAAACCAGCGCAAAGAAAACGACCTACCGAAAATCCTGTACCGCAAACTCCCAGGTAGACAGGTCCGCCTTGATGACTCGAGATGTCACATGCACTAAAAAGTTGAGTTCATCCTCGGACCGCCATGGTCTGCAGCCTTTCAGAACCCCGCAGGGCATGGTCTTGCCCCATGCATTATGATCATGAGGATCATGAGTGCCCGGAAGAACCTCAAAATCACATCGCTTCTGGAGGAAACGACACCACTTCTTAACAAGGGTGATGAGAATCCGGAAAGTTGTAAACTCATCTTTCAAAATGTCCACCGCAAATTTCCGCTGAATCAGCAACACAGCCAGCTCTGCATATGAAATTTTGAACTCCTCACCCCGCATCCAGTGCAATCCAGATAAAAACGAAGTGAGCTGCGCCCAGTCATTTGCAGACCCAGGCCACTTTGAATGCTGCTGCAAATCCTTGAGCTCAGTAACATTCCATGTGTACCAGGCAAATGGATCCTTCCAGGGTAGGAGGGGAAAACGAAGCGCAGGTGCAACCTCGTTTGCCTCTGGTTCATCCTCAGAAAGATCGTCTCTTGGTGGTGTTGTCATTCCAATCAACTTGCACAGGTGTGTGAGCCACTCCTGGCGCCGAGCAACACCTTGGCAAAGGTCATTGTACATGTCAGCATGAACAGCCGCATTCCGCAAGGCCGCTCGCTTCGCAGCAACATCTGCACGTCGATTGTGGATTATATCAATAACACTCGTGCCAAAACTTGCTGCTTGTGCTTGCGTCAAAAGGAATTCAGGAACTTGTTCAAGTACATGCGCGGGAACCCACGTACAAGAAACTGGATGGTCACACAATACACGACGTGCATGTACCACATCTTTGGTGAAGGACCACCAAGCTTGTAGCGGCCAAGCAGGATCAACCTGGTGCTGCTCAAGCAGAGAGTTAAGGTGTTCGGCCATACTTTTGCAGTCCGTGCGAATGTGGATTGGACCTGATGCGGATGCGATCGCAACAATCACCGCCCACAGTTCGGCAGTGTAACTAGACATGTTCCAATGATGTACCGGACCTTCGTTCACCACAACTCCACCTTCTTTAACAATGGCAAAACCAGCGCAAGTTAACATGAAGTGGTTTGGCCATTGGACTGAACCATCTGTCCACAATGTTTGCTTCGCCTGCTCAGGGTTCCAGGTGGCAAGCGTTAGCTGACGGGGGTCGGAAATTTTAAGCCTGTGAATGAGAACAGCAGGAGGATGTTCAACAATGCCCAAAAGTTCAAAGTTGATCCCGAGTTCATGGACAGGTGGGGGTGGGTTGAGTCTTCTGATTTCAGTGCATTCCCTAACCAAATGCGGGAGAGATTCTTTGTTTAACTGGCACAATCGACAGTTCGAATCCGGCACCCGTTTAGCAGCAGCAAGTCTGTCTTTGGTGAGGAGACACCCGACCAATTGTGCTTCAAAGAAGGATGAGAGGGGTATGTCCTCGCTCTCACTCTCCTGTTTCTGTCGCAAAAGGGCAGAAGAAAGCCAAAAATCAAGAAAACCCGTGGGGCCCCGAATATCTTTTCGGCTTTGGTGGCTTGCCTGAACATAACATGCGTGACGAGCAAGTTGCTGCAGTACAGGACGTACGTCACGTGGCCCAAGTTGATCCAGCCGGCACACAAAGCGCCCCGCAATGGCCACAGTGCCATCATTGCGCAGCTCCAAAGAGAAAAAAGCGAAAGCTGTCTGAATACGGTGGGTAATGTCATGCTTAAGCTTGTTAGTTCGCAGAAGGAGTGCATTAAACTTGGGTCTCTCAGTGGGATACAAGTGCATGTATCGGCATATGTCCATGATAGAATTATAATGCCGAGCACAAGAGGGTTCAACTCTGTGCGGTTTACACAAAAAGGCAAAAACAAGGAACTTGGCACGCCAATGAGGGCGGTTTTTCCAGAGTGTCGTCACAATCTCACCTTGTATGCGAGCAAGCGCCCTAGCAGGGATCATATTTATTGCAGCATTGTAGGTGCATTGTGGAATGACTTTAGTACCTATGAGTTTGGCTTTATGTGCTGTGGGTATGGGAAGGCACGAGATGTTGCGCACATCAGCAATGATCTTAGCAAGCTTTGCATCCGAAAAGTGCATGGCAGTTCGATTACTAGTTTGGATGTGTACTCCAAGAATTTCGACTTCCAAGGCACATTGCATTGCGGGAAAGAGTGCGCGAATCTCTTTACGTGCCAAATTGGAAGAGCCCCAAACAATGCATTTGGATGAGTTCATGGACTGGCCAACCAATTCATCCCAAGTCTGCGTGATTCGGATGGCATGGAAGAGATCGTGCTTGTGAATGAGGCGACTCCATAGGTAGGCGTCATCTACGAAAGCCTGTGCCGTGACAGTGGGCAGAACATCGAGAAGGTGGATCCAAACTTTCATGTGCACGTTGATTGCAATGAGCGAGAGGCTACATCCTTGTGCAACACCGTTAGGACCATGAGTTGGGATTGGTTGTGCCCACGATTTATAGGACAGGTGTTTAGAAAGCCCTTGATACAGCTTCAGGAACATCGTAACCACTTGTCGAGGGACCCCGAACGCAAGCATGAGTGCAGCAGCATATTCAGGGATGATGCGATCAAAGCACTTAGCTTTATCAATTTTGACTCCGATGAGGTCGCATTGGTCAACACGTGCCTGGTCAAGGGACAGTGCAAAGTTGGTGTGTATTGCACTCATATGTCTTTGCGGGATTCCACCTTGGAGTTGTTGTGGCATGAGGTGCATTTGCCATTGCTTCAAACGCGCGAAACGTGCGCCCGTATAGGCGAGCATGATGACCGGGAGCAACGTAATGAGGCGTTTGTTCAACGGTTCGGAGCTGCCATTTTTGTTGAGAATAATTTGCCGCGCCGTGGCCAAAATCTTAGGTAAAGGATCAAGGCTGACTTCAATTCTCCTAAACAAGGCAGCGAACCAGGCAAAACATTCGATGGGCAAAGCTTGCATCTCCGTGGTTCGCCATCCATCGAGGCCAGGAGCAGCCTCTTTTTTCCTCTTTTTGACAACCATTTTTAAGTCCTCCGCACAGAGTACTGGGACCGGATAGTCAAGATGAAAGTGATGGATGTGAGGCCAAACAATGTCAAGCATCTTGAGGGCTGGTGGAAATCCTACATTAGCACTGAAAATAGGATCCCAATGCTTATTGATCTCATTCATGGCGGACCCTGGATCAAAAATGGCATTCCCTTCGGGATCAACCACAAGATTAGCAGGTTCAGTTACAGCCTTATTCCTGAGGTGTTTATACACGAAGGCAGACCCAATCTGGGCAGAGTCTTTGATCTTATTTTGCCATGCTTTAATCCTCTTAAGCTTGAGCTTGATCTCATGTGTAGCAATTCTATCTTGGACCCACTGAATGGCCACAGTGACATCGACAAGGTTGGGTCTCCGAGACGGTGGCCACAAGAACGGAGCACGTAGCCTCGCAAGCCGGTTCCACACACGTACAAATGTGCGATGTTGGATCCAGCGATGGACATCACTATTGGTGTTCCGTGAAAGAAACCTCTCAATTTCTCTTAAACCTCCTAAGGCATTGTAAAGCCATGACAGGATGATGGAGGTAGCAAGGCCGGAAGGTTTCTGGCCCGGACACACCTTTTTGGGGCGGAAACGGACAGGTTCCCCTCGAGAACGTGGTCCCGGCCCCTAAACGGCACCATGGTCAAGGAGGGTTTGAATGCAAGCCTGATTGGTCTGAGCCCAGCACGATTCAATGTCATCACTGGGATCCCAGGGTGTGGTTTCATGACTTGCTTGAGAAGAGGCATCACGAAAGGAATCAAAATCAATTGGGGCAGTTTTGAAAAGGACAAACCCACATTGCCAAATACGTTCCCAAGCAAGGGAAACACGGATTGGCCGGTGTTGGGTCTTGAAATGAGACAAGACCTCGGAGTCAATCACAGCACAAGCCGCAACCTTGTTAACCAGAATGGCATCGATACTACTACACCCATCCCCGAAACCAGAGAAGGTTCCGTTTGCGGAGAAGGTCAGAGGTCTGTTACCGGACTCCGATTCGAGGTGTGCAATGGTGTCAACCCATTGGTGGTAGGTGAGTGCTTGCGTGACTGCTTCATACTGGAGGGGTTCGGTTTGGAAGTCGCCGGCGATGAAAACCGGAATGTCTCCAAATTGACTTGCTACCGCAAACACATCGCAAAGAAGGTCATTATTGCAGTTGAGGATGTCGCGGTCTTGACTTGCTCCAGTTTTACAATATATATTAAAAACGAGCGCTTTGAGGTGTGCTGAAATCTGGATCCACACAGCTTGCACACGTTTAGTTTTGAACAAGAGTTCATACTTCCCTGTAGCGTCATCCGAAACAGCGAAAGGGGAACAAAGTTCAGCAGGGGCAGCAATGCCAACCCCACCATGTGGTGTTCGCATGACTCCATTTGATGCAAAGAGTCCGGGTAGCAAAGCCCCTGGGAAAAGGGTCTTGCCGCATTGTGCCACCGAATGGCGGGCACTGTTGATGCAGTTTTTACCTATCCGAGTTTCTTGCATGCATGTGACAACGGATTTCCAAGTCTTCCAACATGTAGCCGTTTTGATGGACCCGATGTTGGCGGAAAAAATGGACCAGACGGTCTCAGAACCAGGTCCTTCCCCAGGGAATCCTTTGGTGGAGTCAAACAACTTTGGAAAGCGAACCACCACGGGCACGGACAATGAATAACCGAAGGACCAACATGTTTGCACATCGAGGAGGGAAGTGGAGTGATCCCAGGCCCCCGAACTCCGGTCGACAAGCTCAGCGGATGGCCAAGTTTGGCAGCTGCAGTATTTTCGGCTCAGCGCAAAAGGTCGTTTATTGACATGGATGCTGGCACTTCCCCAACTTGAATTATAAGACTTGGCGAAAGCAGCGCACGGAAGTGACCGTATGCTGCAGGCAAAGTCCAGCTCACAAGCACACACAAGACACTGACAGGCATTAAAAGAACGGACAAAAGAGAGTGCTGAGGAGCAAAGCATTAGCGGCGGAACTTGTTTCAGTTCCTGCGATGAAGGCACGGAGAAAGAAATCCACGGGCACAGGACGAACATGTGAAGCAAAATCCACGGCAGCAGGCAATCAATGCGAAAGAGAGACAGTGCGAGCCCACACAAACAAACAGAACAAGAAAAAATCCACTGCCGGTTCTCACGCAGATGGCCAGCTGCCCATGGACATCACAGAGTTCGCTGAGTTTTAGGCGGCGGTGACTCGCCGCAAGGTTCATGGGTTCTAGTGGTGCTGAGTTGCACCAATTGTCGCAAGGTATCACCGATGTCATTGAAGCGCTGGTCAAGTTTGCTCTCAAGTGTGGTCTGTTTGTTTTCAATGCCCGATACCTGCTTCTGCAACGACTCAAAGCGAGTCTCAAGCTGGTCAATCCTCTTCTTGTCCTGGTGAGCCGTGGCTGTGGCGATCGTGGCCGTTGGTGCCCCATGGTTGTCCTCTTTGGCACTGGCTTTCTTAGGTTGCCTCTGTTTGCCCTTCCCTCCTCCTTTGACATTGTGAGGGGTAGGTGTTAACAGGATTTGGTGAAGAGCTCCGTTGATCTTGACTGTGAAGGTCTGGATATCGGGCAACGATTGGAATCCCAACTGCCAAGTGTGAACACCCGCAGAACGGAATGTTCTGGTTGGAATTGGAGGTTGGCTGACGGCTTTGGTGACGGACTCAATGACGTCACCTGGGCAGGCCCCTGGTGGCCAGCCGGAAGCATCCATCATGAAGCGGGGTACCACTCCCATGTTGGTATCGTTCAGGCGGGAATCATTGGGCAGCATGTTGCGTCGCACTTCAGCGATGTGTGTGGTCCATGCCCTGATAGCTAATCCTCTTCGGGTGAGGATGGCTCCAGCAACTCCCTTGACCCCATCAATGCCAATGTTGAGTTCCCTCAGGCCTCTCACGCTTACCTCCCAAAACTTCGGGATGACAGACGTGTCAATCGGCTGAGAACCTGCATCAAGGAAATCACGCAGGAGGATACCTTGGTGCCCACTGACTGTGAGCAGTGGCTGTCGAGCCGCACTTGGCAGTTTGGCAATCACCTGTAACTGGTCATCTTCACGTGTCGAGGTTGTGTGTTTGTTGCGCCGGAATCCGTACACGGATACCTGGTCGGCATGCATCGGGACGGATGTGGTGAGGTACTGTCTGAAGTATTGAATCGGATTGTCCCTGGCTCGGTCAAACTCATGTTTCTGGACAAGTCTGGAATCAAGCTCCAGCACCAACTCAGCCACTTCTGACATTGTAAACTCACATGCCGGTTCACAAAGTTTGTACTGGAACTCACCAAAAATGGCAACGGCTGACACCACTCTCTTGTAGGAGGCCTTCGTAGCGCGATCTTCAAGGACAACCTCGAATGGCCCATGGAACTTCAACGTGCTGGTGGCCTTGGTCTGGCTGTCAATCAAGGGCAGGATGACAACCAAAGGTTGTTTTGGGTTCAACTTAACAATTTCAGGAAGAAATTGTTTAGTGGCAAGGACAACTCCCTTGGTGGACGGCGTGGTTTGCAGTCTGTGGAACTGGATGAGTTGCTCCCCTTTGCTGTCCTGGAACGGGTGCTTGTCTTCCAATTTGAGGTCCTCCCACCTAGAGGAGGCAGCCGCAGCTTTGGCCCAGGGGTCATGCTTCATGAGGGGATCAGTGCCAGTCTGTTGACTGTTCTTGGGTTTGGCAGCAGCCTTGGCTTCACCTGCTCCTCCAGCTGCTTGGTGGGCTGGGAATCGGCCTTGGAGCACTTGGAGGATGTGCCAAGGGAGTAACCGCATTGCAAAGAATGCAGCTTGGTGCATGGTGGGCTGTTGCCACGCTGTGGCCGCGTTGGTGAGAACTCTTTGTATGTCTACATGGTGCACACTGCGGAGAAAGGAAGCCTCCTGCAGCGGTCCAGGATAGTGAACCTGGATGCCAACTTTTTCAAAACACAGCCAGAGCAAAGTCCATCCACAGAGGTGAGGATCAGCAGAGAAGTCACGACACACAACATGAGGTGTTGGTGCAATGGCAAGGTGCTGGCACAGGGCATTTGCACATTGAACAGCAACAGGGCGTAATTCAGGAGGCCCCGTCAGGAAGAGCCATTGAGCGCACACTGTTGACTGAAACTCGCACAGGATCCAGTGGTGGTCCCAGAGAAGGAGGCCTATGCACTTCTGTGCAACGGAGAGCGGCGCACACAGATCGTTGAAGGAGGTTACACCATCAGAATTCCATTGCGTGGGAGGAAGGTAAACACTGTCAGGGTCCGCCTCACGCAGGAAATCCAGGATGTAATCAGCCGTGTCAGAAAAGAGCCACCCAGGGTGAAGGTCAAAGAGGGCAAGGCGGGCAAGAACCCTCTGTTGAGGAGAGGAAGGCTCTTCACTGCCAAATTGAAGCACCGATAAAGGCGATCCAGTGGCATCAGTCAATGCGCCTCCCGTGGCACGCTCATCAGGGAAACGATTCTGAACAATCCTGATCAGAAAGTCCAAGACCGCAGCTGAAGCAAATTGAAGCAGGTCATGATCACCATTGGCTTCCCAAGCACGTGCCTCAGTAACTTGGACCTGTCGGATTAGATTGTGATGCCTGTGCACCCGCAAAGCCGCAAGCCAGGGTTGGCTCAAAGGAGGAAAGGTGACCTGAAAACGGCGGAATAGTGTGCGAAGGAGAGACCAACCACAAAGACCGACTGCGGTGTCAAAATGAGTGGCTGCACTATTGATGACAATGTTGTGTAGACGCAGGAGTTGGCACGCAGCAGTGACAATGCGGCGCAACGCAGGCAGGATCTCAACAGGGCCAACGGTCTGTATGCTGGCTTCCCACTCATGAACATGCACCTCGAGCAAGATCCAGTGGTCGTTCCAGAGCACAGACAGAAAGAGGTGACCAAAAGTGTCATGCAGACTATCAAGACCAGCAAAGAAGTGAAGGCTCTGAGTGTCCGAATGCCAAAGAGCAGGTGGGCAGAAGCAAATGTGAAAGTGATGCCAACGCAAGAAGTCCAACGCATGGTCCAAAGTGTCAGAGGAGAGCCATCCTGGTCGGTGAAAGCACTCCAACAGGCGAGATCGAATCCTGTCAGGTTGCTCAACTGGGCAATGCTGAACATCAACGGCAGTTGAATTGGCAAGCGTAGCAGTGGTAGTCCTGTGTGGATCAACTGCATCATGCGTTGCAGAAGGTGGTCTTGCAGTAGGTGGTGCTTGAGCAGGGAACTCGACATGCAGGGGCACGTTGACAACTGATGAGGTCTCTGTCGCGGTGGCAGCCAAACGCACAAGAAAATGTGTTCGGAGCGTGGTCGCAAAGAGAATGAGGTTGTCTGAAGCTCCAGCCCTCCTCCATTCTTCTTGACTTGATTCCCAAGCCTCACGAATCTCAGCTCGTCGAAATGGTGGTAGGTCATTGAAGAGGTCAAAGTATTCAGGAAGCTGGTGCAGTGCCCGGCAAAGCGTGTAGTATCTTTGTAGCAAGAACCATCCACATAAGTGTTCTGGCGGCATGGCCGAGTGAATGTGCTGTTGAACACGATGAGGTGCAACATCAATGCATCTGCACATGATGAGCAGCGCCCGTTGAGCCAGTCCAGCACCGAGTCCAAAGACATGAATTTGCGTATGGGTCCCAATTCGATTGATCTCAATTGCTGCCCAGTGGTTGTCAACAAGCAGTGCTGTAACCGTTCGCCCATTGTCAGCGAACCTTGGCTCACCGTACAGCTCATCATTGAATTCATGTTCGCTAGAGCGCCAACAGAGTACATTGAACTCAGCAATGGTTTCCGGAAAGCGAGCAAGAAGCCACATCATAGCAGCATGAATCTCGTCTGAGGCTGCCCACCCATGAGTGTTGATGCAGAAACTGATCCTGCTGGTGAACGAAGCTCCACGAGCAAGTGTCTCCGGATTGGTTGTCCATCTGTGATGGCCACCAGCTGCAACAGGTTTGGGTATTGGCTCGATGAGGAGCCAGTCACCATTGGCAAGGTGAATGTCGCCCATTGTACACGGCTGGTTGTTGTGGTTGGCGATTTGAAAGTCGCCTTCGTTGGTGACGATGGGCGTGGATCTGGAGATCTGCTTGGGCACAACCTGGGCTCTGACCCAGACTTCGGTTTGAAGTTTCTGGAATACCACCAAAGCATCATTGGGATGATTGCGAGACCTCACAGTGAAGAGAGGACCTGGTGCAATCTTGGGGATAGCAAAGGGACTCTGGTAGACAGTGAACTTGTCAGGACCAAACACGGTGGCAAGCTGTTCTTGGAGATCAGCAGCAGGAACAATGGTATCCAGATTGAGAGTGAGGACACCCAGGGCATTCTCCCACAGGAGGGTGACGAGCGTTTCCAGTGGGTGTTGAACTCAAGCAAACAGAGCATCTCTTGGAAGAGTTCCGGAGCAAGGGCACGCGGTGGAACCGGTTCAAGTACAATGGGTTGCACTTCATCACGCACAGTAAAAGGCACAGTAGGACTGATCACATCAGAGCTTGGAGAGGCAGGCACAATGACGGAGTGTCCAGCAGGCCGGATCAACAGGAGAGGAGAAGTCCACACCGAGCACGAAATCTGCGAGGTGATGGCAAGTGCATCAACAATCGGAATGTCAGACAAGACCTGCATGTCATGTGACCGAAACTGCAAGGCAGTGGGACAAATCCCCTTTGTGAACATGGTGAGTATCACAACGGTCACGAGTGTGGCTTGTTCTGGGACCTTAGCAGACCACTTAAGGCGACTTACAGCGTGCTCCAATTCCAAAAGGACAGCAGGTCCCTCAAATGACATCGGCAAGTACCTACATGGCATGTGTGCTGCAATGTCCTCGACCTTAGCAATGGTCAACCACCGCTCAAAGACCTGAACCAGGGCATTGTGGCTGGTGAGCCGGGCATCCCAGGCTTGCCGAACAAGCCTGGCGGGTTCCAAGTGAAATGCAAAAACCGCCTTAAAGCCAACAGCGAGACAAAGGGTTGCATGGGTTTGCGAAATAGCGTTGCCTAGGATATGAAAGGCAAAAGATGCATCACTTGGCAAAACGATCATGTCTGTCGTTCCGAACAAGGGCACGAATCGAGTCGGACAGTGAAAGCAAAACGAGCCTTCTTTGACTTCAAGGGAAGCGAAAATGCCTTTTGTCATGACATGCTCTGCTTGGAGCAGGTGCTGTCTGGTATATGACGAACATAGCGTGGGCAGTGGCTGTTTTTTGTCAGCACACCTCAGGTTCAGCACCTCGACTGTGGTCAAAGGGATCGTCCTGGCACGTTTGGCGGGCGGCAAAAGTCCAGGATTACCATATTTACTCAAAGCCTCAGGTGCAAGGCAGAGCTGCTTGTGGAAGGACTCAGGTGTCCAAAAGGCGTTGGTGTCATCACTCCACAACACAAGGGGTGGGGCCCTGAGGTCAAAAACCGTCTCATGAGGTGCGATCCCTAAATCACATCGGGCCCACACAGCAAGCCATCTGGATCGTTGGTTGTGCGAGAGGTGGCGCGAAGGAACAACTTGTTGCCAAACTTTGTGAAATCCAATGAGGTTCATCAAAGCTTCAAGGATGGGGAAGTGCTCATGGGAAACAGTTGTATCGGCTCCTTCTAAAAAGAGGAGCAATGGCTGCTGAATTTCAATCAACATGACCGTTTCGATCATGGCAAATCCACTACTGCATGAGAGCCCCTGCTTTTTCCCTCCGTGGGACCAGGAGACACACGGCGGCGATGCTGTCGAAATGGAATTGACCTTGCGCGGCCAAGCATTCAACAGTGACGTGTCGTCCACTCCTGTGCATACACCAGCTTTCAATGTCAAATCAACAGTGATGGAGCCAGGCGTGCGTCCACAGCGATGGGGAATGCCGTGCTGAGTGCTCCAAACCTCCATGATTCGCTCGTCGTTGTCCACAAAGAGTTCATGGCCGACCTGGAGATCTGGCAACACTGTAGATAGCCAGTGTGCTGCTCGGGTCCAGCCCCCATACGCTCCCGCAAACAGGCGCACAATGTGCAGTGGTTCAGAGGCAACAAACTTCGGGCGGAAGACGATCACAGTATCCATCCCCAATGTGAGCGCCTCCCACTGATCATTAGCCAGCTGTGTGCCAATGCATGTGACATGGTCTCCAATAGCAGGAGTAGTGGCTCTGTTGCCCAACTCAGGCACCATCAACCGCACACGCGGCAATCCCTTGGTAGGCACGACATACCCTCTTCCAGGATTGAACTCATATGGATCCACTTCCAGTGCAGCATCAGTAGCCAGCGCAACCAATCCCGACACGATCACCTTCCCCTCTCGCCGAAGCAAGTGGGCAGCCGCATGGTGATCTTGCAGGAAAGCCTTGATTCGCCCACGCCAGGGCTCATCCACCATTCGTTCAACCGCCGAATGCCATCGGCGAACACCTTCGGCCATGGCTCAGGAGGTCAGGCGGTTCCACTAAGATCAGGCAGCGGGTCGATCGAAAGATCTTGGTGGACGCCTGACCTCCTCCGCGAAGAGGACAGCCAGGCCGTGGGAACCCGGTGTGCCCTAAGGCGAATGGCTTTGGGCCAAGACGCCTGAATTGGACATCCTTTTCATATGGAGGTTCATTAATCAAGAGTCTAGATTAGAATAGATTAGATGTTCCCCCCGACCCGGTGTGACTTCAACAGACTCTGACATTTGAGACCAAAGTCTGGGATCCTGAGCACCATGGAAGTGGAACATCTAGTCTTCCAAGTCACACCCTGGAACAATCATGAAAGTGGAAACTGGCCTCCTTGGAAATATGATTTCCGGGTACCGAGCGAGAAATTGCAAACCTCAACAACAAGTGAAGATAGTCTACAATGTACATAATGCAACTCATTAGATGCGACCAAATTCAGTGAAGGGGCCATTCGCACAAAAGTATCAAAAGGGTCGAGTGATTTCTGAGAAATTTTTCGGACTTTGTGCTGAAAGGCACGAATGTGATCGAAGGGCCATTCAACCAGGGAAACAGGTGGAATGTGGTTAGAGAAAGCTTGGATCCTCTGTGGGTGAAAAAGGATGGGTGGAATGGACTGTTGAGGGATAGACACATAAGCCTGAAAGAACGCATGAACAGCAGGAGCATCTGAAAATAAAGGACGGCGTGCCTTACCACCCACACATTGACGCTGATAACCAAGATGCAAAAGGCTCATTGCACTAGTTTGGCTATACGAAGGAATGAGAAGTTTCTTTGAGGTATGGGCTCAAAACTGAACAATTTGTCTAAAGGCATATGCTTGTCGTAGGACCGAACGATGATAAGTTGAAAGCAATCGTAGGGTATTGGAGAATCGTAGGGTATTGGCCTTGTCACTTCGTCATCGAATGATGGTGCCATCAAGGTAAATGGAGTCCAGTAGAAAATGGTGAAGGCAGCCGCAAGTTCAGCCCAGGTGATCCCCGGATCATTCTTTTGCACTGGTTCGTGCGGGTCAGGCCATTTAAGGCTACGACAAAATTCCCATACGCGAGTAGCTATTCCAGCACCCCAGGAACATGCCCGAGCAATGGCCGGGTGCAGACTATCTGATGGAACAGGAAAGAAAGGAGGCAAGCTGACCGACAGATTTGCCTTGCGCACAATCTGAAGGCGGCTGACCCGACTTTATGTTCCTATTATCAATGGCCACAAAGGTATTAAGATCACGAAGGAAGGTATACACACGCTTGACGTCACCATTTTCCTCTACCAACTGATGGTTTTTCACTTCGAGGGTAACCCAATTGACTAGAGGTTAGTGTGGGCAAATTCCAGATTTCACAGGAGTTGACATCACGTCTGCTGGCTACGCGGACCTCTTCATTAGGACACTTCACTGTGCCCTCCTTTTGCTCGTGGCGGCAGTGGTCTGCGCGGAACGCGGTTTTTCCTGGAGAGAAGCTGTTGACCTAGCAGAGTGGCTCTGGTGCTTGCCAGCACTTGCAACTTGTCTGACGACTAGCGGCAGACACATTTTGCTTGGTCACTTTGCTGCATCGTTTGGAGTTTCCTTGACCTGGAGTGTTCTCGTTCTTGGTGAGACTGAGGCATGCCTTGTGCTCTGCTGCGTAACTCCTTGCATTCTGGTAGCACTTTCACGCAAAGCTCCTGAACATGGCATTTTTGCTGTGCAAGTTCTGGGCACCATGGGACTATTGGTAATTCTGGTGCCGGCTGCTTACCTGAATGACTTTACAGATCTTAGCATCACCCAGCACCGGCAAGGGGAGAATACTTGGAGCCCTTCCCCTGCCGCTGCTCTATTCTTCATCACCTTCCCCGTGGTCATTTCATGCATCTCCTTGGCCTTGGTGTGGTTGGGTCCGACCTGGATGTCCTCTCGTCTCATGCACATTGAAACGATGTGCAAGTGCCGGAAGCAGAGCTCCCTCTCCGTGGAGGACTCTGATGATGACTTCGATTCGGATCCAGATGAGAGCTCTTAGCTGAGGATGCGCGAGAAAGTTGTAGTAAGTACTAAGTACAGTGTGAATTTGGTGTACTCCTTAGCAATTATCGAGTGTGTTTGATGCCAAAGTTGATCAGACCACTCTACTAAGCATGTGAATAGATTGTGTCAGAGGTACTTCGCGAGAGAAAGGACAAAATTTGGCTCTTCAAGACACGAATGAACTGCTACAGATGAGACGTGCAAAAACAGAAAGGCAAACGCCCATACATAGTGTTTCTCACATTGGGTGATGATGTGAGCGCAGTTTGCGTTGAAGCCACCGGCTCCTGCTGAGTTTCTTTAGTCTCACGGAGCACTCCATTTTCCCAAAATGTGTTTCGAGCCACTTGTCGGTTGGAGGCCATTGCTCTTAGGTTGGAGGCCATCGCTCTTAGGTCTTAGGTTCCTTAACGTTTTTTTTCTTAAACACTTTCTATATTTCTCAATCCCACGAGTTCGCCAGCCTCGGTCACTCACGCGTCCACGTTAGGTCGTTTGAAGGGTTCAGTTTTGAGCATCCACTGACGCGGTGTTTTCTCGCGCACACCGCTAGCCACGCTTTTGGTTCCTTCCGCCATGTCTGCGTCAAACCCCATCAGGCAGTGAGTGATGTGAAGAGTTATTCTGGCAAGTCCTTTAGATGGTTCCGCTTTGGCACTAAAAGCACTTTTTCAAAGGCTGGTGGTTATGTGGCATAAGGTGGAGCTATGACACCTTGGTGGAGTCCTTCGATGTCTATCACGCAGGCGCTTACCAAGTTGGCGTATATAGTGGTTGTGGCTCTGCAAATCTCTTGAAGCCTGGCAGAAGGACCCGATCCACCTCGAGGTCTTCTTGACTTCTCGCAGCAGTTATCTTCCTTCCGGCTTGAGACTGATTCTCATTCTGATGGAGAACTTGCCTACAGTGTAGTTGAACTGCTGCTTTCGGACAGTTGGATTGGGTTGCTGCAAGTCTTCAAACAGCACAATTAGGCCGGAAAAAAGATCTACAACGTCAACCAAAAAGATGAAGACAGAGAAAGTTCAGGCTCAGCTCCTGGAAGGGGTCGTGTGTTGTGGTCGGCCATGCTACTAGGTCTCCAAAACAAAGAGTCCACAAGCTCCCGAGCTCCGAGCGCCACGGAGCTCTGCCCGAGTTTCTGAGCTTCCCGCGCCTGCAGCTCAGTCTTGAACGCTTGGAATGGTTTTCTGTGATTTGCCATGATTCTTTGCAATTTTTCTATCATCTTCCGGTTTGGTGGTCTCACTTCGTTTGTTTTGGATATTGTCGTCGACGAGGCGAAAGCGGCCAACAGGCCGGAACGGGCCTGTTCCAAAGGCTTTTGAACTGCAGCCCACACAGCTGCCGGACGAAGTGCCTGAGGAGGCTCCCAACGAGATTCTCAGTTTGCTTTGACCAAGTGTATGTAAGCTGTGCACACTTTCCCCAGATAGCGATAGCTATAGGCATAGGGCATATGGGGGTCTTACTTCTCAATGACAGGGTGCCTGTATTTGGTTTGCCGCTGCTGTGTGCGGCTGCTGTGCCACTGCTGTGCCGCTTTGTCTCCCCACTTGTCTCGTTACCTGTCTCCCCACTTGTCTGCCTGTGTGATGGCCGTTTTGGTTTGCCAGTGATGTGCCGCTGCTGCCTCGTCTCCCCACTTGCCTCCTAAGCCTTACATGTCTCCCCACTTGTCTCACAGGCTCGCTGGGCTAAGAGGAAAAGATGTGCTTCCGCTTGAGCTAGTTGCTATCTGGGGTCTATGCCGATGCAATTTTTCAAGTTGATCTAGTTGCGCAGAGCTTTGAGCCGTATCAAAAAACAGACAGACCAGGAAATGTCAGGCCTCTCCGACCCAGCTCTATAGACGAGCTGCTCCTGAAAACGCTCGTCAATCCTGTTCCCTTTGGTGTTGACCATTACAAACTTGAAAGCAACTGCGATAGGCCGACATGGAGCAATTGACGCCTGAGTCGCCCAGGGCATGTTTATGAAGTGATTGTTGGAAAGCACACAAGACATGGATGATCAGCACGAAGACTGAGAATGGTGACACTGCTTTGGAGGGCTAGCAGTGACGAGTTTGGATCTACCATCTCTGGGACACAGATGGCTGGACTGTTGAAGTAGGGAGTGATGGGCAGATTCAAAGGACTTCTTTGGGCTCCGCCCTCCAACTACGTATCTGGTATGGCCACATAATTGGAGGTGAAGCCTCTCTAGAATGATCTCTGAGCAAGATCTGCAGTTTCACTACTAAGCTAGTGTTTGCAGCTTGAGGAACGGCGTCCTTTCACAGGGATATGTCGCACATGTTCTACATGTCGTAGTGTCACATGGAGCGCAAATAGCTTTTCCTATTAAGAGGCAGTATGCGGACTGGATGAAGTACTACAGAGAGTGTGCAGAGTTTCTCGCTTAGTGGTACTTTGCTATGTAACGTTTGTTTTGCAGCGCTGAAGTGCAAAGAGTCTCTGCAATTGGCCACTGCCAGAGGTATTTCGAAGAATGTGAACGGAACTGTGCTGAACAGGCGAGAAGTTTCAAGCTGCACTGTGCAGCTTTACTAAGCTTCGGCTTGATTTCTGGTGATTCTGAGGCTGGAATGGAGCCCCCGAGGAGCTGGAAGCGTTTGTGATCTTCGGAAAGTATTTTTGGCTCTGGTCAAAGCGGTACACACCAGGCGAGCACAACCTGGACTGGCTCCCAGTGCGAGTGTAGGGGCCTTGGAGCGGGAGCGAGCTCAGCCATTGGCTGTGGCCCCGTGCCCCCGAGGCTTCTTCCAGGCCGCAGGCGCCGCAGGCACCGCAGGTGCTTTGATTGTGGAGAGGTCTTTGATCATTTAGCGGGACAATTTCTCTAGTTTGTCTCGAGCTTTCGACGAATTTCACACCATGAGCTCCCACTATACTCTGGGTTGCCTTCCAGATTGAAGGTAAACGCTTCGCCGTTCCCTTTGAATGGCAAGGCTCGGCTGTATGCAGTCAGTTTCTTGGGATGGAAAGCTCTTCTTAAGGCACAGCCTCCTTCAATGGCGGCTCCTGTACACACTACACCACGCTTGCACCCATCCATACATGCACACATATAGTACAAACAAACAAACAAACAAGCAAGCAAGCAAGCAAGCAAGCAAGCA